CGGCGGCATGATAATGTCGCCAAGTGCTGAAGTCAGTCCCAACTTCTGCAAAGAACAAGTTTCGTGTGACTTGTTGAAAGCGGTTGGGATCTGGATGGCGCTTTACTGGCGCATTTGCGCAACTATTTGTCCTCCAATAGTAGTTTGCATTCAATTGAACCGATTTGCTCAGTAACGAAGCAATTTGTAAATCTACCACCGCCTTGCGAATGGCACAGCAGGCACGGCCTTGCCTGTTTGTCAGTTAAATGGGCGCAAGTACATCAACATCATAGTTATGTCCATCATGATGAGTATGAGGCGAAGGCGGTCAGTCGGATGCCACGTTTAATGAAGTGTGATGTTGTGCGAGGATGGACGAACGCTTTATCCAATTAATAATCTAGAAGGGACAGCATTCGCACCCAACTCACATTAATGGATCACACTTTGATTTCATTTTACATGAACGCATTACATCTAGCCCATCCATCTGATAAAGCCAAACATTTTCTGCCACGTGTTCGATTTGATCAGCGTTCTATATCTCATTCCACGCGCTTTGATCTCCGCTTTCCTCTTTTGAAAGCGACTGTTCAACGGAGCATATAATCTGTAGCGGCTACCATTTTACTCAAATCATATGTATCTCACTCAAATTTACGCCTTGAAACTATCATCTCCTGTGTTTCAGGAAAATTAAACAGCACCACTTTGGAGCTCACATTGTTTTATACGTTTTTAGGCTTGAGGAAGCGAGGCCTCACGTAAAATAAATACAGCGAATTATTTGGAAAGCGTTTCCTATCTAGGTAGATACAAAAACCTAGTGAACATTTATTGTTTGGCGCAGTTTCTTTATTGAACTGACAATTACACCATTGAGAACCACCAATCGTGTATGATTACGTAAAAGAACAAACAGCACATTTAACGAAATAAATTCCTACTTACGCCTCTACTTCACCGGCTGCTGAGGAGACGAGGTTGTTTGGTGTTTTAACCTCAATGTAAAATGGAGCAAGTAAAATGAGTGAGTAGAGGGGTAACATCTGAGCAGGGTGGATCAGAGGAGAATTTCGAAGGTGAAAATAACATAAATTTTGTGCTGTTTAAATCCCCTCCCTTCACAAATCTACCGTTTAAACCAGCGCTCACCGTTACTAACCTGTGAGGCACGAGGATGGAGGTCAAAGATGCAGGAAATGTGCGTAACGTTGTCCTGCCGCCTACAAATTCACACTCCACATACTGCCTTAATGCAAATCTGTAATCCTCCTGGTTTCAGTGATATGGACATCAGACCGCACTACAGTTTATGCGTTACGAATGCCATTGTCTTTCATTTGTCGTCTATGATTCAGTTCTCAAACTAACTTTCATCCGTCTTAAGTGCCATATTTTTTGCCCTTCGTTGATTTTACTTTTCAGGATGGCCGTCACTCCTTCTATTGCTATCTACAAATAGTGCGATGCTTTAAGGACACATGAGTTGATCCAACCAGCCCTGAGAAATGTGGCGAACGGACGATGTTGTCATATTGATGCTTGTGCCGTGCAGGAATCGCTGAAGCAGATAACTGAGGAGGTGATCTGAGGTCTAAGATGGTCACTTGATGATGGGTTAAATGAATTTGAGTTGTATATAGTAGAAGAAAACAAGTACTTTTCGATTAAAGGTATCATTGCAAATGAAAGACTGAAATAGACTAAGTGACTTTCTGTGGTGAACATTATATTTGTGTTGTTGAGCAGTAGCATCCCTAATAAATGTGCATAAGTTTCCTATTAGTGAGTTGCCTAGGCGATGATGACAGCCAGGCCTTCCTTTTATGGTGTCCAAAAAGGCTGCATTAAATTTTTTGAATCGATAGGGCCATTTGGCACTATTTGGTCATTTTCAAAACCAGAACTGCAGACACTTGTCACTTCTTGAAAACAAATGGCCCAAATACCTTTTAACTGACACTTCTCTTTGTGTCGCCCAGATGTCTACTTCCAGCAAAGTAACGTAAAATCAGAGGGACCCTTGTGCGAGGCTGTTAAATGTGTGGGAAGACGCATTGTGTCATGGGTGTTTTGTTTCATGCCCCTCTAATTAGGAGTTGTACACCTTAAATTGCAGTAACATGTCCTTCCACCATGCTACTGCAGTGGTGTCTCTTCATGTTGCCCTCTTTCTTAGCCTTCTTCTGCCGCCTTAAATATAAATGCTACTCTGCCACATTTAAGTAATGCTTTAGTTTGTAGCACTACAATTTAAACTATCATGCAGAAAGAGGCTTATTTTGCGGTGTGGATAGCAATCTTCATATCTTTAAACATATCAACGAAATCACAGCCTTATACGCAGGTAGAATTTTTAACCAAAGAAGTCGCTTTTATCACATAAAATTTTAGAGGTAAAATTTAAAATGGGTCCAAATCACATATGTGCTGGATTTGATCTAGTAACTGCTTAATGTGTGCGAGATGCAGAAGACCACTACTGGAATCAGTGGATCCCATCAGCGTGTGTCGGTTCATCAAGGGATTAGTAGAGAAGCCAGGGCTAATGCAAGGAGATGCCATCTACCTAGATATTTACAATTAGGGTGTGGATAAAATTAACCATTTTAAAGAGTCAGGCTTAGTCGAATACTGGAAATTTTAGTCTTATTTTTTGTAAAATACTTGCATCAGTAATGTTTTGCTCTCCATGCGGGATGGCAGAGAGGTCGACAGTAATGCTAAGCGCTACAAGCAGCAATGCTCAAAGGAACGATCAAAGTTTGCTTTTTAAATAAAAGGTTTCGCCTTATTTATGAGTGTCCCAAACGTGCAACCAAGATAAGACCTCGCTAGCCGACCGATCTGTCCTGATCAAGTACCAATAAAGGCACTAAACAGAAGAGCTGTCGCCTTCTCTACAAGTAGTTCTGTCAGTCACAAATTCCCTACCATTACACAAAAGTAGAATAAAAAGTTTAAGGTACTTAAAGGTCAAACAATATGCGAGAGCATGCAGGTTCAGTAAGGAGGTACCGATTGTGCGGCAAGTTTCTTGTTGTTCGACCATTCATCCCGGAATAACTGTGCTACGTAATGCCTACTTGAAAATTTCATAAACACTAGCTACTCATTAAATTTGGACCGAATTGCTTCACTAGCCAAAGCCTGCAGGCTGCTCTTCACAAGTGGCCAAATTTCAGTGGACAGTTCGTGCATAGCCGTCGTAACACTTGGGGCTTTTTTTTCCCACGCATCAACACAAATCTCTGTGCTTATTTTTGAAGCACAGCCACACTCAGCTCGATGGTATTTTGCTTAGCAAAAAGGTTCCTTTTGGATCCTATACGCAAATATGTCAGTAGCTGGATGACATTAAGTCCTTGAATGTGTTTCGTCTCATTCCATCCTACCGCTTTTAATTTGTACTTATGAAGTTGCGACCGTTCCTTCTACGGAATGTCAAACTAGATTACTAGCCATTTCACCTTCACAGATGTTTGCAGCTTGAATAGATTACTTTAGTTCAACATTACACTGAGATGAAGGTGACAAGTAAGCACCAAATGATGGTAAGTAAACGAGGTCCGAGTTATTAGACCGACTTAAACCAGTGTGTAAAATATACTACGACTGGAAGTGAGGAAATGGTGCTATTAAGCCATTAAGTTTCGTTTAAATGGAGTCTGTTATCTTCTGTGCAGAAGTAATTACAGATTTTCCTATGGTCTCCAATAAGGTGTTGATTTAAGTTATGGTTGTTTGCAAAGTAATTGTCCCCCTCACCTTTCACTAAGTAGGACTTTCCTTTAAGAGAAGGATTGTGAGATTGTGTAGTAGTCAGTCAGCCGCACTTAAAATATCATGCATAAATAAATATTGCAACTTAAAATCACATGCAAACCAAACTGGATGTAGTTGGGCCTTTCTTTGTCCCGGCATACCCCAATGTCGAGTTAACTGAGGTGACAGTTAATGGGAAAGAAAGTGTAGCTAAGGTCGCACACGATTATGATCTTACAAACTATTACATAAGAAAAGGCAAAGCTGTTTTTCGGATTGCACGTATTTTCCTGTTTAGGAGCTTTTTTCCACAATCCGAAAATGTTTTAGCTAAAGTTCTACCAACGGCTAAAGGCAGTGCCTTTGAAGAGCACTATAGTGCATGTCAGGGAGGTAATTCGTCAGTCAAACGGCATTACCCGTCCTTTAACACTGCAACTGATTCCCCATCCATTATCAGCTTTAATTTATGTTCGAGTGGACACGTTTTAAATTCCTCAAGCTTTGAATCAGCATCCACTAGAGGGCACCTTCTTTAATGCCAGCATATTTGAGAGAACAAAAGAAACTCGGCACTAATAAGGGGCAAGAAACGCTTTCTATGATGGCAGCAGAAGACCTATAAGTGTAAAATGCTTTGAAATGCATTCAAATTCCCTCTTCGTAACCACGGGGATCAGCGAGTTCTCAGTCTAACAGAGAAAAAACTCTTGCAACAACATACACAATTTGAGATTATTGATGACAACAACTAGGATTTTATGACTGCTAAAATCTCAATCAAAATATTGTGGAAAATTGACTTCCCCAAGTCAGTGTGCATTGCACCATACTAATTGTACTGTTGCACACAAATTGCACCCATCACTCATGGCAGACGATTCGTGGTGGACTAGTCGCACTGTATGCACAATAAACGCATTGAGAAGATATACATTTTCCACACATTAACAATCCTCCAGTTGTGTCAATCAAGGCAAAGAAGTTCCACCATGATTCGCATTTTTTCTATTGTTTCAAAATCTTCCTTAAAGGACACTGAAATCATGTGCTAGACAGTAAAAGGCAAAATTTACAAGGAGGAGCAAAACAAACCAATAAGACCTGGTGTGAGTCTGATTGGACCCTCTTGACTGTGGCATGAGTGCGACATAAGTAGGAGGAGGGATCAACGCATTGCATAAAAAGTGTTATGCAAAGACAACCCCTGCTGTAAGGCACAGGGTCTTTAAGACGGAAAAACGCAGTTTATGGACGAAAAAACCTACACCAATGCGGAAACACGCTCAATTCCCCTCTACCGATTCAATTACCTGCGCCAACGCAAACAGTTGTTGGATATTGTAATCATTGTGAGTGAGACATCTCCAATTGTTAAAGCATTGCTATTAGACGAAGGAAAGTCACGAAGTCGCTGCCCATCGCCTTGTCCTATGCACTCGGTTTCCTCTAATTGGCAACAAAATTCTTAGTAATGAAAACAAACGCATTGAATGGAAGAGATTTCCTGCGAAGTAGGTTTCCACTGGCTCTATTCATGCGGCACTGTCTAGCACTGTGAAGACCGCAGTGGATTATGCCTACACAGGCAATGCCAGAGTGAACTCTGACAATGTCACAGGCCTGTATCTACTAGCGCACAATCTGCGGTGTTCCCAGTTGATCACGTGGTGCGTTGATTATATGCGAAGCAGGTTAGCCTAATGAAATACGTGCGTGCGCATTGACGAAGGAAAGTTAGTCACCTTCTGTTGTAGAATAACGCTAGAAAATTTGGAAGAAATTTGGTTTATTGCAAACGCAACTGCAAACAGTGATCTTATAGAGGAGTGTGTACCACTAATCGCGGTCATATTTGAAGGTCTTAGTGACAGTAGAAGGTTCCTTCAATACACGGAAGTCGATGGCCTTACAGCACTCCTGAATGTCTTACGACTCAGTGGTGTCTCCGACGAAATCAAATTACGAGCAATCGCTACTTGGCTTGAGGCATCGCCCCACCTTGCAGACCGACGTGCTCGAGCCAATTCTTTTGGACACGTCTTATCAACTGTGAAGTTGGAAAAGTTACCTGCTTCTATGATTCTTGGAATTACCTCAAAGGAATCAGATATCGTCTTTTCAAAGGAGTGCAGGTAGACCAAGCAAATATTCTCAAATGATTGTGTGTCGCTTCTTATTCTTTTGCTTAATATTTTGGCCACAGAAAAGTATTAATTGACACCTGGAAGGATGCTCGAAGAGTTCACGACAAGCTGTTACACTCCCCCGGCCCTATCGTCAGCTATAACTCGAACAGGTGGGGCTCCCGTGCCTTGTTATCTCGCATTTTTTGTTTAAAGGGCGACTAAATTAAGACACTTATCATACATCTGTTTGTAGTATTATGGAAGACATATTTTTCCATGCATGGGACGAGGAGTCTGCCTATGGCATTTTGGCTTCGCTGCCACAACTTCATGGTGTTGGAAATGCGCGCTATTGTGCACCGTACAGACGAAATTGCTCCGTCGCCGCCTTTAATGGTTTGGGGTTAAAGGCGAAGTTGTTATTTTACAATGCTTTGTTGCTAGCAAAGAAGCCCAACAATCACCTATCTTACTTGTAGACGACGTGTACATAATCGGTGGGAAGGACGATAACGGAAAATCGCTTTCACAGGTGGAAAAGGTGAATCTGCGCAATGGCCAGATCCACAGCACAACACCAATGTCAAGTTCGCGAAGTGGAGCCTCAGCAGTAGCAAGTGATCGCTCTATTCTTGTCTTTGGAGGTTACGACAAAACACGCAATGTCATCCTATCCTCCTGCGAAGAATATGATCCCAATGCTGATAGGTAAGTCAAGTGTTGCAGTTTACAATTCAAGTGACATTTAATTCCACTCTAGGACTGAATTTGGCCTACGACCTACCAATTTGTCATCGTCTTTAGATGGACTTCACTGCCCAGAATGCCTACGGCAAGGTACGCAACTGGAGCCATCTACATTCCCGACGTTGGTGAACTAGTTGTCGGGGGTTATGATGGAATAGGTAAATCAGCTTCGGACCTACATACTGCCGAACTTCTCCTCGACGGGAAGCCAGGCACTGAAGGTGACCGTGTGTGGTGCACGGTCACTCCAATGTTACAACCCCGAAGCTGGCCAACAGGAGTTTATTTTGATGGGAGAGTGCACGTTGCCAGAGGGGGTGATGACAGTGTCGAAGCTCTAACTTTGGCCTCCGGCCAGTGGACCCTCATTTCCAGATCTTTTATGGTCGACTCTTACCCATTTTCAATGGCCATTTTTACTGGGCGACTTTTACTTGCGTGTGAGTAAATTGAGGTTATAATTTGACGTGATGAGTTGCTGCTCCAATGCTTCACTAAGGATATGGGGTTTAAGATCAACTAGGCCTTGCACAAAAACATTTGTCGCATATAGCCACAAATATTGCGTAACTTTTGGACGTTGAATGTGCAGAAGAGGCTCTCTTTTGTCCAAATCTCTTGTCTTTCAGCGGACAACGGAACCATTTACGAGCTAAAAGTTCCTACTGATAACAAAGTAAGGCTGCTGCCATACCTGCACTTGAGTTGAGACTAAGGTTTAACGACAGTGGTTTCTTATGTTTTAGGATTTGGAACTGCCTGAATTTGTTTGGAGCCCGATTTTCAAATTGAACAACGTCAGACACGTGACACTCATTACCAGGAGGCTTAACAAATGTTCTGCTTAAGCCCTACAATTAATGATGCCTCACCACCCTCATTTGTCGGCATCACCATCAAGGACTATTCTCTGATGAGATTTACTCCAAGCGATTTCATTTTGCATCACCCACTTTTTAAGCAAGGAGTGTTAATACGTCTGCTCATGCATACATTTCCTTGTCAGCGAATTTAGCAAATAAACTTTCCGTACGCACAAATAATTTATAAGGGGAAAATGTGGACATAACACAGCTCCAAAGAAGATGCAAATTGCTTTCCTTGTCAGGTCACTCTTGCGTCACCTCTCGTACGAGCACATGCTGGCAACAGAGGGCAGTGAAGTCCGTCGCGAGGTTAGCTTAAATGTGTTTCGCTCCTTCTTAAATCATCAGCCAATAAGCACGATCTGTCCGTAGGATATTCAAAGTAGATGGCTAATGTTGCTGTAACGCGTTTACACTTCTGCTCCACTACGACCCTTTTTCGGTTCAAGATAATGCCGCTATATTGGACTTTTATAGGAGAAAAGGTGAAATAGGGAGAAAGGAGCATACATATTGTTCAAAAATATAGGATTCTTTGACACAACCACAACAAATCACTACCACTGGAGGAGATTCCTCAGTTTCTCACATTGAGGAGAAGCACTTTAATTGATGCGATTTGTCCTTACAAATGCCGTCACAGCTAGTAGAAGGGCACTGAAGTCAAATCCATGAAAGTGGAGGATGGACTTTTGAGCCAAAAATTCAACTTTTCTTTCTTTCTGCTGCTGTTGAGTAAACATTTATTTGTATCAGTGTCTAGCACTTAATTTTAGTTACCTCCACCTTCGCTAAGCCCCTCACTACTTATCCGCTAGACAATGAATTTAGTTAGTCGTCATTAGGAGGTCGCTTAAGAAAGATAGGTGCTAAAATATGGTCGAAAGCACTTTGTAACCGTACATGAGCCACAAATAAAATTCTGGCTGTTGCCACCTCCTAACCGAAATAATAGCGACAGGCGTACTCCTCATTCCTCTACTCGCCTACTTTAGTTTTGACAGTAGTCAACCAGACCACTAAGAGCGGAGTCTGGATAGTATGATTTGTATGCTTAATGTATCTCACTGTTGTTTGTTTAAAATGTACGTTAGCATCATGTTTTTGGGAAATTTCTATGTCAGTGCCCTCTAAAGAATTGGTAATTTAGCTGGGACACTTAGCTAGCTCATGTAGCACCAGACCATTCCTCTCACTTTCTTCAGCTATCCCTTAGACATATGCGACCATCAGTTATTCTTTAACGAGTTCCTTTTTGCTTTGCATTTGATACTTGTTCGGGTTATATCAAGTGGCCTTACAGTTGTTTACTGGAAAGGAGAATGGATGTGAGGTTCCGAGTATTTAATCAGATGTCGTGCATGTGATTTTGGAGCATTCCAACTTGACAGTAAGTGTTTTGAATCACACAAAATTCGTATCATGTAATTTGACAATTCAAGCAAATTATATAGGTCAAACTTGGAGTTTTTTGGTTTAAAATAAAATGTAATGTGATGTAATTTTATTGGGTCAATCTCTACTTGCATGTGAGGCAAAAGCATTTGTAGCTTGTAAGCTGTAACGAGGCCTGCTGCTCTCATCAGTGACAACAGAAAGAAGACGGAGTTTTGCATTAACGCAGTTCATGTAATTTGAACGTACGTGATGCTTGTGTATGTGCGTATAAAAGGCAAAACATGTGTTCCGCAGCATCAAATTCAACGGAATGACACGTCCATTACTGTAGGTGACTCAGCAGTACTGACCCATTGTGACGCGTCGTTATAGTTGGCTTCACTACAAATACCTTCTCCATTAGTATGCGTTTCCTATATTGCTCCGAATCACGTTAAATACTACCCTAGAGCACTAACTCACCGTGGTCATGAGGCCTCAAATTCAGTCGCGCCCTTCGATTCAAAACTGCCGACTTAGATACAAAGCCTAAAACTGTGTCACCATGTCTTCTGCGCTTTCCAAAGTCATGCGTCTGTGCAACTTGATTCCACCATGATAAGTCGTTGAATGTTTAACCATCAGCCCGTGCCGAAGTCTTTATGCAGGTCAGGATCACAAATACCGTGTGCTGATATGTTTATGATGCATTACCATAAACGAGCTGAGAGTCGTGACCACTCACATTTGCCTTATGGTGATGGCGAATTCGCTCTTGACTAAGAGCTGCAACACAGAGGACGATAAGATGCATTCCTCTGTTTGGTGCAAATCAGAATATTGTGCAGTAGTTGCACTAGGTCACTGCTTCACTGGTCTCATGGGTCAATTTGTATTTCAGAGATGTACAAATGCATTTCAATTAATTGCACTCATAACCTTTCTTTTTCTTTTTTTGGAGGCTCACACCTCATTGTTCTACAATAGACGGTAGTGCTTTTTTTTGTGAAAGGCGAGGAGTGTAGTGCACCCATTTAAGTGTTGAAAGCATGCAAATATGTGAATGCGATACTTTACGTGTTAACGGTTCTGTTCAATTTGGTAGTGTCTTTTGTGTAAACTGGTAGTGCATGGATAGGTGGGTGGAAATATGAAGTAGGTAACGTCTCAGGACATCACTCACTAACGCGTATCTGCAGTAGATAAAACGAGTGAAATGTCGGATCGTAAGGGCAAACATGGCCAAGTCATGTGCTGCTGCCTTCATTATAGTGACAGTAAAAGTTCCGCATTTGTCTTTTAACAGGTTTTCTTATTTTATTAAGGGGATTAAAGATAGTGACCCCCTCCCAAATCATTTCCAGTGGAGTCAAGTGGACAATCATTCCATTACGTTGATTTGGGCAGTCATAAAGTTGGGTTGAAATTATGCACGCAATACCGTACTGTTTGCCACTTCAGCGGGATCAAACTTACACGTGGAGAAGAGTGCGATTTATCGGAAGAGAAAGGTTGCTGTCGTTGGGCTGCAGAGCCAAACACAATACAAAGTGAGGATAGTAGTAAAAGGTAATAAAAAGCTAAATAAACACTTTACATCGGTCACATTACCACAATGTCAGCACAGAACTCACCAATCATGACTACAGTGACTACACCAGCACCAAAGGTTGACGCATTCACTAGCTCTGCTAAGAGCAATGGATCCGTCTCAGCATCGGTGACTTTTGGTTTGAGTAAGCCAGCAAGCGAGTCTTCAGGGAGAGTTAAAGCAGTTATAAGTGGTGTAAAAGCATCCCTAGGCTCGAGACCTATCAAACTGACGTCCGTGACTGCAGCCCACAGCTCAACACTGACGCATGATGTTGTCAACCGTGTAACATCTAGCATTTCCACCTCAAATGCTTTAATTCATGAGATCCTATTTACTTGAATTGCGGATGTCCACGGCTGAGGTCTACCAGAGCAATGTGGCATCCACTTCAACTACATCCACAATCAAGGCGAATAAACAGCTTTTGATTAGCATCCTTACATCGCTATCACTTGACTCCTTTGCTGAAGGTATTGCAGGCAATTACAGCACTTTGCCACGGTTCATTCATTCCCCTCAAACTTTCATTCCCTTGTGGTGAGTTTTTAATTGATTGACAAGATGTGACAAGGAAGAGATAAGGATAATGTGGTGTAAGCTTCCTTGCATTAAGGCTTGCCTTCTTAAGCGTTTCACATATGCAATCGCACTGTTGACTTTGCCAAGTACTTATTAACGACTATAATCTCAAATGGCCGATCGTAAGGAATTGCAAATTTTAAATTATACAAACGACTCAAATTTACTCCGTGTAGCATAAATAAGACTTTGTCACCGTTTGTATAATCTTCAAAGAGCAAAACACCTTCAGATGCCTGTGAAAACACAACAAACAGAAAAGATTTTTATTTGCGTTTCGACAGTCGCCAGCTTCCGTTTGTCAGTGTTTATCATAAATGCGCCTTTGTATAATTGTGGGGCTTATGGAGGCCCGGTTGGAGGAGCTGTGCTGAAGAGAGTTCAAGTGCCTGATTTCAAGCAGGAGAAATTCAGTAACTTAAATCTCCCACTTTATGTAGATCGTCGTCGTTCAGAGCTAGAGGCAATTGTCACGACTTGAATAATGTATACTATGGCAGGTCATTACGTAAGCGTTGATGTCAACTTTGAGGGACTCCACTTCAGTGTCTCGAGATTTCTCTACAAGTAGAAGAGGGCATTAAGATGGACTGAATACATGTATTAAGAGGGCGGAGAAAGGATTGAGCCTTGGCTTGACAACACGAATACCAAAGCAACCGCCGGACATCAGTTAATCACATAAACGATGCACTACACCGACATTAATAAGAAGTTGAAAATTGGGCTTATTATAAATAACTGCTAGTACTTTTGATACCATTGGCGATGTCATTACTGTTGTCTGTACTTTGCAGCGCAGTTGAGGAGGAGGAGGAGGGATGCGGTCCAAACAGACAGACATCGTTTATGAAATGGTGAAAAGGTAAAAATTCTTTGACATAAAGTTCCTCCAGTTATTTGTATTGTGGTGAGCCGTAGATCCAGTTGTTTGAGCAGAGGCCATTTTGCCAACTGGACACAAATCTGTCACAGCAAAGTAATTCGCAGTTGGTAAACTTTTCACCAATTTTTAATATAGAAAAATAAAGTAGTCTAAACGACTTATGTTAACTACCAATTGGACGAAAATGTCACATTTGATTGATTTGCCATAAATGGAGGGAGAGAGGGACTTGCAATGTTGAGCAAAGCATTCTCTTCTAAATTCTTTCCTCCCTCTCCTGCAAAGCATTAATGAGTTGCAGGAAAAGCATGTGTATCAAATTCTGATACTTCTAATCTGCACCGCCAAGCACATCATTTCATCAACAGACAAAAAGGCAACAGTGACGGCGGTGTGACCAGTTTAAGTCACCAATACTCCACCGACTGCCTCAGTCGATCATTCATGAGCCGAGTCACGGATACACGCTACTTATAACGAAAAAAGCAACGAACAAAGAAGTGGTTAGAGTTAATACCAGAGTACGGTGAAGGGCAAGCTGGTCAAGAGGTTCTGCACGTCACAAACTCGCCTCACGAATGTGGTGCAGTTGATGAGGGAACGGTTTGACAGTCATGGTAATGGTAGCGCAGCAAGTGATGCGTAAGTCTTGCCAATGAAATGTGTGTCGCTGCAATTGCCGTGGCACACTCTTTGTCTGTGGTGAAAGTTATGGTGCGGCGAAATGCAGAAGAATGGTTGCTGCAACATGAAAGCGGTGGGTGGAGGGGCACTGATTAGTAGTCACGTCGAGGTTATGACACAATCAACCAGACTTTGATGACTAAAAGTTAAATTTAACATTTCAGTAAACTTGTACACGAAATTTTCTGTCTTTAGGAAGTGGGCTGGTTCCACATTCTTACTAACCTTTAAGTGGTACAAGGATTTGTAAAACCTCACGGCAGTGAACTTCCAAGAGCGAGTCTCACACCCCCACAGAAAGCGTTCGACTGAGTAGTCTTACACTTATCTTGATCTCGGAGCAGCAATTTTGATCAAACTATACGACAGTTGGATTTCAGTAATGTATTCATTGCTAATAACCCTCCATGATAGCAGTTATCCTCCTGCTCTCAGTTCTGTGAATGAAATGGCTTTATGAAGAAGGAAGATACGCGGAAAATAGAGTTAATGACTCAGAATTCAACAAGTCGCACTCTTCAAGCTTAAAAAAGACCCAAACTCAATTTTTTACTGTTTAAACTGTTGGTGGAGCACTCTACTGATGAAGGAACATTGGTTCACACATCACACATCGCATCACACGTGCAGTCCCATTTTGGTCTACACTGCTCTGGTGTCATCGAAATACATAAAATAACTGCTCAAAGCTTACGCTTTCATTCTCTGGCAAATGAATTCTAATTGGGTTCACAAGGCGGTGGACGAAGGGGATGGGACTTTAAACTTCTTCATCTTAGGATGCTGCTTTCTTAAATAGTAGCACCGTCCATTTTGTGAGTCGCTTAAGAGCGGCTACATTACTTCAAATGAATTCCTTATAATCAATTGTGACGGACTCCCACTTAATTCTTGTGGCAGAACAAAACCTGTTTGGATGTACGTTTCGTCTTTATCTCATAGTACGGCTGCTCAAATGTTTTATCTTCGCATAAAATAACTAAATCTGTTTGCTACAAAAGTTCTACCCCCAATCTGCTACTTTGGTTTCAATTAGCACTTAAATACGAATATATTTAGCTTATCTCATTGGAGAATCGTTACAAATTTGGCTTCAAAACTATTACCAAAATGAGGACGTCGATGTCTTATAATGCTGCTAGTAGAGGTTAAAGGCTTACCTCCTATGGGGAAGAAAGGGGCGATTTGATGCCGCCTGACCTCCAAACAAGAAACTGCGCCTTTGCTTACTGGTCTCAGTTCACGCATTCCCGTCCATCGGGCTGTGGTCTGCCGTCTCAGGAGTGGATGTTAAAAGGGATTAAACGACTTCGATGCTTGAACTACCGTACAATACAGGTACCCTTGATGGTAAAATAAAAATTTTGTCACCGTTCTCACGTCCCTTAAACTCTGTTTTAGCGCAAATTAACTGAAAATTTCACAAAAGCTAATTTATACGCTGGCATTCTGGAGCCTAAATTTCAACGCGTTCTCTTCATCTCTTATCTTGAGCCGATGTTTCCCCACTCAGATGCACCAAAGGCATTCATCGCTCCAGCACAACATTCCTAGTTCCCACTTTTCACCAGAATCCGCGACATCTTTCTCGACCATTGCAAAGAAAATTGAGGTATTATGGTGCGTGTACCGATGAGCAAGTTTTCATGTAACACTGCTAGAACAACTAAAAATTCAGTTCAGAGCTCACCAACATTCTGCCCACTGGACTGGAACACTGAGAGCCACATTCAGCATCTGTTAGATTAGTTGCCAATTTCTAACAAACGTACATACACGAATGGATAAGGTCAGGAAAAGAGGGTACAGCCATCACACAGAGGCACCCCACGCACTGCGAAATGTTCCACTTTGCCATTTCGTTTATGACATGGCAAGAGCTGACAGCAATGCGTGATGACATCGGCCACTCCAGTGCTCCTGAATCTCAAACGCAAGACAATCAGACCTAAGACAAAATATTCCACAGTGTAATGTTTTCTTTATCCAATCGTCTAAACGATTAAATTATGATGATTTTTAAATTCAAGCTGCATGAGACAAGCTATTTCAAAATTTGTAAGATGCGACAGCAAAAATGTTACAGACACTAAAAGGAGCACAATTACACAATAAGTTTGTAATAATGCGGTATAAATCAACGAAAGCGAATAAGAAATCAGTTTAGTTAAAATCCGCCATCAAAATATCCGAATTTGAACAAATCTTTGTGATAGCGACACGCACCGGCTGCAGTTAACGTTCTCCAACGGCAAAGCAGCCTTGAGAGTGTTTGTCTGCTTTAGCGTAACATCGCAACGCAATTCGTCCACATACGATACTACCTCCGTTCATTCAGTTTATGCCCTCCATCGTGAAATGCAACATTGGCTGCGACCTCGAATGGTTCACTTTGAAAAGCCCATTTTGTCGGAGATGTCCTGCTTGAATATATTTATTAGATGCCACTTATGGCAATCATTAATTTTGCTAAAGACACACTCTCAGGCAAGCCGTTTGTTCCAATTGCGTCCTCCTTACCTCACTTGACTGTTTGTAAGGAGTCAAGCGATCCTCCAGAGTGGGTTTGAAATTGTGGTAGTGTGTTAACAGAGAGGGGCAAGAAAAACGGATTTTCGCTTAGGCATCTAATACCCTTTGGACTCCATAATGCCACAGCGTTGCGTGGTCGATTCCCGAACAACTGCACCATTTGGATGGGCTGACATACTCCTCTTTGGTGAGAATATTCAACACACGTTCAAATTAGGGTTGCTGTTGGAACGTTCTCGAGATGCCGGATTGACATTGAACCCATGGAAATGCTGTCTTCTCCACTTCTCAGTCACATTCGTAGGACATTCTATTATGCTTTGTTTATGTGACCGCCTGGTGTCAGGCGGTGATTTTGAGATTCGTCCTGTGTTTGTACGCGTGAGCTGACCTTCAGGCCAACCCAAGGTCCAACCCCTTCTTCTCCGCTTAGAATGAATGTATTTAGCCCCAAATAACACCTTCTTCAACTTATTGGGAAGTCTCGGGGCACAGCACCATTGGCAGTGTAAAGCGAAGACGACTTTATTCACTTCTTCTGTCCTGGAGTGTGCTGCTTGTGACATGCGTCTAAGGAGTGGAGGTTAAATGGAAAATAGACGTATTTCTTGATTG